GGAATTTCCCTTTTAAAAAGGGAAACGTTGACCGCTATGCCTTACAATCATTTTGAAAAAAACTTCCCCCTCCCAGTCCTCCATCTATTGTCAAATATTTTACTGGCATGTGGTTTGATTTTGGTTTTACCTGTTTCCCTTTTATAACAGCTTATAACAGCCCAATATCTCGTCATGTTTCCATATGCATATTTCTTTGGAAGAAAAAAAGTAGCTTAAACTTCCTACAGTTACAGGATATTATGAAGCTTCATTCCTCAGTCAATCTGGCTGGCAACCTTAGGGGACAGGTTATTCTAAGAAGAAGCAGCTTCAGCAACACATTTTGATCACTGTAGCAACAATTCAAAGATGAAAATCTGAGGAGAATTTGGTTCTTATTGTCACTTAAAGCTTAATGATTTAATGGTTTATTCTCTTATTGATGTGAAGAGGATTTATGTGATTATTTCCCATTAACAGTAATGGGAATTGTATGCATAAATCCCCTTACAGAGTGATAGATTGGGGAGCCGTGTGTGTGTGTGTGTGTGTGTGTGTGTGTGTGTGTGTGTTTAATAAAAATACTTGTGGCCAGGTCAGCTATATTAATTCAAAAACATTTACATTTTTCTTGAGCCACAGTCTTAAGTTTGACATTGCCTGCTAATCTATGGCTCATAAAGCCAAAGTTCGTTGAGCAGAGATAGGAATGATAATAGATCTGTCTCCCTGAACCCTCTCAACACCCCCAACAGAAAATTGTAAGCATACTCAGTTCTACAGAGCTTGTATCCATCCTAGTTAGGTTTGATGGGGTTAAAGTGTGTCACTTTTATCTTATTCCTTCAGGCAGATCTTGCCCATACACCAAGATAATGCACACCAAAGCGTGGACCATCACAACCCCGGGCTGTGAAAGATCCTGAAACAGCTTTGAGGATGTTATTCTGTGAAATATACAAACTGGGCTGGCCCCATGGCCTGCTGTTTGGGCTGACATGAGTGAAAGTACATCTCAAGACAGAAGAGATTGTGAGCACTGAAACCGGTGACAAACATCCAAAATGGCTGCTGCCTGGCTTAGGACTTTGCGAACACGGGTTTTGTTGAACAATATCAGTAGCATGAATGTATCGGAGAATCCACATCTTCAGTTTTTCCTCGCTTGATTACAGGCATAGGACCAGGACCAGCCCAATCATTAGGCAAAGAGGGACAACCGCTTCAGACGGCAGTTGGCCTGAGATACGCTCCCCAAGGAAACTGTGTCATCTCTTCAGCGCCAGGCAAATACATTTTTATTCACTGGGCATTTGAACAGCCCTGGTGGCCTGACATTTAATAGCTGCTGGTGCCTCTCCTGTGTTGTGCTGCTTTAGATTGCTTTTATTGGAACAAACATTTTTAGTATTTTATATTTGCATTGTTTTATTGAATTTCTCCTGTAATCTGTATTTTGCATTTTACTACTGTAAATCACTTCAGATGCCTCTGTATGTGCAAAGTGATATATAAATGTAATAAACTCGCTAATTTATTGGGGTGTCTGTGTAGTAGTAGACACCCTGGCCTAGTATAAGAATAAAGGTAAAGGGACCCCTGACCATTAGGTCCAGTCGTGGCCGACTCTGGGGTTGCGGCGCTCATCTCGCTTTACTGGCCGAGGGAGCCGGCATACATCTTCCGGGTCATGTGGCCAGCATGACTAAGCTGCTTCTGGTGAACCAGAGCAGCGCATGGAAATGCCGTACCTTCCCACTGGACCGGTACCTATTTATCTACTTGCACTGGTGTGCTTTCAAACTGCTAGGCTGGCAGGAGCAGGGACTGAGCAACGGGCCCTCACCCCGTTGTGGGGATTTGAACTACCGACCTTCTGATCGGCAAGCCCAAGAGGCTCAGTCTGGCTTATTTGCATTAATTAGAAATCCCTCATGTTGCTCCGTATCAGAGCAAACTTAACATAGACAGCATCGCTAATAATTGGTGTTGGGGTCATTTGGATTAGTAAAGTTGTACTGCATCGGAAGTAGTCATATTATACACCAGTTTACCTATTACCTAGCTAAGGGAAATAGGTTGGCAGATGTTAATAAATGTAGCTGAGAAGCAATGGAGAATAAGTTTTGGAAAGATGACATCTGTGGATGAGACAAATGTCACCTGCCCATAATAGGTTTTGGATACAGGCACCCCAACTTCCCTTCTGCTCTGACTGGGGAAAGATTTCTTAGCTGACTTTAGAAAAAGTACCTCCTAATTTAATTTGAATAGACTAAGGAACAGGAATAGTCAAAGCTTGTTTTGTCATAATTAATTTTAAAACCAGAAATTTGCTTAAGCAATAGCTAATTAAATTTTGGAGGTCTAATATTAGATTAGGAAAGAGCATAATGGTATCAACTGCATATTAGATTATCTTATGTTCCTTCTCACTTACAAGTATTTCTGTCTCGGTTGTTGATGTTGATCATGATGACAATTGATGACGACAATGGTGTTATTGAAGGGTAAGACCAACGATGTTCCAAAATACAGTAGTAAACCATAAAAAGGGTGACTGGGTGACCATTCTCATAAGATAATAATTTATTCCTGTCTTTAAGAATGGAAAGTTCAACATCATTGTGGGCATTTCCTATCATTAGGCAAATACAGATTCATCTGAACCTGGAACCCTGCTACTGACACCATGCACACACAAACACACATTTATTCTGAGCATGCCCAGAAAACAATATTGCAAAGTTATGGGTCGTGTGCATAGAGCAATACAATTCTGACTGCCGTGTGCATGAGATGACAAATCACCTCTGGCCCAGTGGCGTGGGATCATCTAGGAAAAGGATGCACCCTCTCTTGCTAAAGCCCTTCTTACTGGAGGTGGAGGTTTAAACACTTTTTTAGTTTCAAATTCCAAAAACTTTATTGAACGTCTTACTTATTCACCTGCATGTTGTGACAGCCAATTATTGGCAGGAAGAAGGAGCTTTGCTAATATGCTAGAAGGAGTGCAGAGCTCATGGGCAATTTGAAAGTGAAGTAGTAGAACCACCAACAAACGTGGAGTTTGTTCAAGGTTCCAGACACTCCATTTCACACAAAAAAGACCCTCTGGACCGAGGCTGTTTAGGGCTTTAAAGGTCAGCACCAACACTTTGAATTGTGCTCGGAAACGTACTGGGAGCCAATGTAGATCTTTCAAGATCGGTGTTATGTGGTCTCGGCAGCCCAGTCACCAGTCTAGCTGCTGCATTCTGGATTAGTTGTAGTTTCTGGGTCACCTTCAAAGGTAGCCCCACGTACAGCGCATTGCAGTTGTCCAAGCGAGAGATAACTAGAGCATGCCCCACTCTGGCCAGACAGTCTGTGGGTAGGTAGGGTCTCAGCCTGCGTACCAGATGGAGCTGGTAGGCAGCCGCCCTGGACACAGAATTGACCTGCGCCTCCATGGACAGCTGTGAGTCCAGAATGACTCCCGGGCTGCGAACCTGCTCCTTCAGGGGCACAGTTACCCCATTCAGGACCAGGGAGTCCCCCACACCCACCTCCCCTGTCCCCCAAAAACAGTACTTCTGTCTTGTCAGGATTCCGCCTCAATCTGTTAGCCGCCATCCATCCTCCAACTGCCTCCAGACACTCACACAGGACCTTCACCGCCTTCACTGGTTCTGATTTGAAAGAGAGGTAGAGCTGAGTATCATCCGCATACTGATGAACAGCCCAAACCCCCTGATGATCTCACCCAGCGGCTGCATGTAGATGTTGAAAAGCATGGGGGAGAGTACAGAACCCTGAGGCGCCCCACAAATGAGAGCCATGGGGTCTGAACACTGATCCCCCACCACTACTTTCTGAACATAGCCCAGGAGAAAGGAGTGGAACCACTGTATGACAGTGCCCCCAGCTCCTCTAGATGGTCCAGAAGGATGTTATAGTCAATGGTATCAAAAGCCGCTGAGAGATCCAGCAGAACCAAGAAACAGCTCTCACCTTTGTCCCTAGCCCGCCGGAGATCATTGACCAGTGCAACCAAGGCAGTTTCAGTCCCATGATGAGGCCTGAATCCTGACTGGAAGAGTTCCAAATGCACGCAGATAACGTTTGCAGAAGTCCATGTGATTAATGGCACTCCTTGCCTTGCTGAGTGATAGCAAGGATCAAGCTGGGAACCACCAGGCACTGAAGAGTAACAAGAAGACATGCTGGCCTGGAGCTTTCCAGTCAAAAAATTATGCTAGGGGAGATCAGGGTTGGCCCGCGACATTTTGGCACCAGAGGAGAACCACAAAATGGCAGCTCTCCAACTAGGGAAGAAGGGTTGAATGAAGATCTACGTTGGGAACAAGGGGGGAATAAAGATCTGCACCAGAAACAAGCATGAGAGGAGACCAGCAATGCCTTCTATTGGTCAGTGGGGGGCAGGTCTACCCTCCAAGGAACATGCCACAGCCATTGCTGCCACCATGCTAGAAAAATGCAACCTGTGCTGCTGAAAGAAGTTGTACGACTCATGCAACACGTTGGCGACTAACATACACACAATAATAATTATACAGTGGTGCCTCGGGTTAAGTACTTAATTCATTCCAGAGGTCCGTTCTTAACCTGAAACTGTTCTTAACCTGAAGCTCTATTTCTGGGTTAGCGGAGTGTGTAACCTGAAGCATATGTAACCTGAAGCGTATGTAACCCGAGGTACCACTGTACATTCTTTATCAATCTTCTGAGAAAAATACAAAACCTTATGCAAAGCCACAGAGACTTGTGAACTACCCAACCTAAGATGAACTTATAATGTCTGGTTTCAATGGATTTTTCAAATGTTTAACTCAGTCTTTTGTTTTCTTTATCTTTTTAGGTAAGTTCATGAAAATACCAACAAAAGGTTCCGTTTGGTGTTGTTCACAATACTGAGAGATGCTAGTGAAGTTGTAGATAGATGTTAATGAAGGTGTATACAGGGTGCCAGCGTTTTGCACCTATTTCGCCCTGGCAGTCCAAGAAATCTTTTTTTCCCCAAAAATTTTTTATTGGTTTTCACAATATTATAAGCAAACAAACAAACAAACAAGACAAACATAACAAACATAAATCATAGCCTTATTGAAAATTACAGTTACTAACTTTGTTAAGTGACTTCCTCGTTTCCCCTTGGTTGAATTTCATTGCATGTCCTTTTAATGGTTTTCCAAATCCCAATTTTTATAAAATTTAACTTAAACATTAACATCCTTAAATCTTCACCTTATATAATTAAACATGTTAATTCATCACTTAACATAAATAAAACCCTAAGCTTATTAAGTATCTGCAAGCTATTTCCGGTTAATTTAATTTAACAAATTTAACTAAATAATCATTAACTTTATTCCATTCTTCCTGATATTCCTCCTCCTTCTGGTCACGGACTCTTCCGGTTAGGTCGGCCAGCTCTGAAAAATCCATCACCTTCATCTGCCATTCTTCTATTGTTGGTAATTCTTGGGTTTTCCACTTTTTAGCTAACAAAATACGAGCAGCAGTTGTGGCATACAAAAATAATTTAACATCTTTCTTGGGCAATTCCAAACCTGTTATTCCAAGAAGAAAGGCCTCTGGTTTCTTTATAAATGTATATTTCAACATTTTTTTCAATTCATTATAAATCTTTTCCCAGCAGTCCAAGAAATCAAGAGGTCGCTGTTTGCCCCTGATGGGGCCTTTCTACTGGGGCTTGCAGGTAGCACACTCCCAAGGTAGTTTTCCGGGCTTCTTCAGTGGTCTAATCTCAAAGCCTTGATACGTATATTGATATTCACTAATAATAATTCAAACCAAATCTTATTAGAAACAACTTAATGCACTTCTAAATATTCAATTAAATAAAAAATACATATCCATTATACGTGAAATCAGACTTACTACAAAAATTTATACAAATATACTTACATTTTATAGAGAATACTATTTCTTGGCTTAAGCTTAAGAGGCTGATTTGCTTAGCAAGGTTACCCTGTTTGGATCTGGATATAAATACACTCTTTCCTTACTAATTGCTCAACAGGTGTTTAACGTTAGCGAAAAATGAGGAGGGGAAGGAGAGGATGAAGGGAAGGGTTGAGGTAGATACTGAAAATACTTACATCACATGTGTTTCACATACAGTACATCATATGTGTTTCACATGGCAGCAGCAGTGGGCCATGCATTCCTTGGAGGGCAGGATGCGCCCTCAGCTTGCCTCATGGGTGGGCCAGCCCTGGAGGAGATGGAGATTTGTTCCACACACCCTGCAGGTCAAGCTTTCCTGAGAACCACCCCATCCCTCCTATCCATGTCCCCTTTCTACCAATTGTACAATAGGGTTTATATTGTGGCTTAATCTTACTCTTTGGGGTGGTGTGAGGATTAATTTGTCAATGTTTTGCAAAGAGCCAACAGTCTCGCTGTTCTTATAACAGCAATAAGCAGAGAGGCTTTGCCGAATTGTAACGTCTCAATGGAATTATTTGTGTTCGTTATGTATCAGCTGAATTTAACAGCTCGGTTAGTCATTACCTGGTAACTTTATTTATAAGAAACTGCTTATTCCTCTTTCAAAATCATAGTACCATTTCATTTTTGTGAAGTCAGGAAGCTTGGTAGATTCCCACCCCCCAGAAGGGATTATAGGCATTTATATGGGCAATGAGGATGTAACACAAGGAAAAATCTTTTACAGGAGATGTGTAAACCTTTGTGCTTCAGGGCAAAAGCTAACTACTAGCTAATGAGAGTCTGAAAGATACTTCTATGTTCCTATAATCATCCATTATAGAGTTACTTGCTCTTTCTCTTTGAAGTATTCAGTCCTGGCCATTTCCAGGGGCAAGACATTGAGACCCACTAAACTAAGCCAGGGATCTGATATTGTGCTCCTATTCCGATAATCCTGTTGGGATTTTTTTTGCATAAATCCAGGGTCAGAGTCCACAGAGGAATTAAAAGCAAAGAGTTGGGAGACAGTGGACAAGCTCATCAATTAAGGAGTCAAAAGAATAGTCAGGGCAGGAACACCCGACAGCGCCTGGGACTTACGTCATCTCTGTGTGAGGTATGTAGCGCCTGGGACTTACGTCATCTCTGTGTCAGAGGTATGTAGACGCACACAGTTTTATGCGGTAAGTGCTGTACTTCATATAAGAATTAGATTCTCCTCTGGGTCATCAGAAAAGCCTTCAGTACACTGATTAATTCATTAACTTTCAAAGGTGAATAAATAACCAAGGCTTCAAATTTTTATCTCTTTGGCCTTCCTATTCTGTTACCAATCGCAGATATGATTATGGAACACAACCTTGACACGCTCTTTTGCACCAGCGTGTGTGCTGCAAAGCACATTGGTGGGAAAATTACCAGCATGTGATGAAGTTTTATAACCATGTTTTATCAAATCTGTCATTCTCTGTCAGTGGGACTGTTATCACTCTGAAAGGAGAAGCAGGGCAAAGCAGTGACGTACAAGCAAGTTCATTGTTCTTGACCGTGGATGTCAAACTCTGTCCCTTTTTCCTCCTCTTTTTGTGTGGCATTTTGCTTTGCTTTTAGTAGTGGAGTTTAGCAAAGGGAGGGATCTTACGTTTGGATACAATGGTCTTTGAAATGAAATTAAATAAATGCTAGAAGCCAGGAGACAGTCAGGTGCGTTCGTTCTCTATCTCTCTCCCTCTCTCTCCCACCAAATAACTCAATCATGGTAGCAAAACGCCATCTTCTATTGTTCAGGAATACCAAATATTCAGGGGAACTGGGAAGGTCATTCAGATTTCCATGGTTAAAGGGTGGGTCTTTTCATGGTGGAGAAAATAAGGAGAGAAGATCCTTACATGGCAAGTTATCAGACCCTAGGGCAAACCAAGAGGTCAAAAGGTATGCAGTGGACATTTATTCCAAAAGGGCATCAACCTGAATTCTCCCAATAGTGGTGTCCAAACTTTTTCCAAAGAGGGCCAGATTTGATGATGTGAAGGGTCGTGAGGGCTGAGCAGAGGGCCAACCAAAGTTGTTGACCATTTTTTTAGGATTGAAGTTGTTGAGGGTTTTTTTAGGATTTTACCCCAGGAAATGAACTTGGAAACTGCCACAAGGGACAGATTAAACCGACTAGCGGGCCAGATTAGGCCCCTGAAATGGACTTCAGACATGCCTGTCCCAAACCATGAAGGATACTTTTCTCTCCCTCTTTCATACCTTTCTAGCCCTCTTCATTGCAAAGAAACAAACTGAAAACATAGTTGCCTCTTATAATGAATTAAGGCATATCTATCATGTTAGCTGATCAGTAAAGTCTTGAAATAGATTTAACATTCAGCTGACCTGCAACATCTCCTCTGAAAACCTCAGGGGACCAGCTTAAGTGGAGCAGGAGCCTGTTTGACATGATTCAAATTGTCCTTCAAATACCTTGTCTACAAGCAGGGTGTGAGCAGATACACACGTTCTTTCTTGACCTGGCAATCATGGGTATTGGTGGTGGTGGTTATTCATTCTGCCCGAATGGTGCTGTACAGAGCAGCATAAACTAACAGAGTAAAATAAACAAAGAAAGGAACCAAAGGGAGGGGAAGCAACTTAAGGAGAGGGAAAAGAGAGTCCTTGGCTAAAAAAAAAATTCCACACCCCAGGGGTCGCCCATCCCATTTTACCACCTGGGGTGAAACGTGATGGAGACACTTTTCCCCACAACCCACTGCCAAAGCCTTATTTACTGGGGTTGTGTGGCTGCAGCAGCTTCTAATGAGATCAAGTGAGAATTCCATAAAAAGGTAGAGGGACCCCTGACCATTAAGTCCAGTCGCGGCCGACTCTGGGGTTGCAGCACTCATCTTGCTTTACTGGCCAAGGGAGCCAGCATTTGTCTGCTGACAGGTCATGTGGCCAGCACGACTAAGCCGCTTCTGGTGAACCAGAGCAGTGCACGGAAACGCTGTTTACCTTCCCGCCAGAGTGGTACCTATTTATCTACTTCACTTTGATGTGCTTTCAAACTGCTAGGTTGGCAGGAGCTGGGACCAAGCAACGGGAGCTCAACCCGTCGTGGGGATTTGAACCACAAACCTTCTGATCGGCAAACCCAAGAGGCTCAGTGATTTAGACCACAGAGCCACCCACGTCCCCCACCTTTCTTTAAAGGTAAAGATAAAGGGACCCCTGACCATTAAGTCCAGTCGCAGAGGACTCTGGGGTTGCAGCATTCATCTTGCTTTACTGGCCGAGGGAGCCGGCGTTTGTCCGCAGACAGTTTTCCCAGGCCATGGGGCCAACATGACTAAGCCGCTTCTGGCGAACCAGAGCAGCGCATGGAAACACCATTTACCTTCCCGCCAGAGTGGTACCTATCTATCTACCTGCACTTTGACGTGCTTTCGAACTGCTAGGTTGGCAGGAGCTGGGACCGAACAACAGGAGCTCACCCCGTCATGGGGATTCAAACCGCTGACCTTCTGATCGGCAAGTCCTAGGCTCTGTGGCTTAACCCACAGCGCCACCCGCATCCCATATGAGTTCCATAAGATCTTGCAATAGTTTTGGGAGATCTCACAAGATCTCGCCAGAAGCTGTCGCTGCAGCTGCCCAATCCTGGCAGCAGCAACAACAGGGGTGAGCTTGGCACCCACGATGGTGCTGTGCCAGGGGATTCTGCTACCCAAGGTGGCTGCTTCCCTCTGCCTCGTGGGCAGGCCCAGCCCTGCTTCCCTCAAAAAATCCTAGGATTTCTAGTTTACTCCTCAAAGATCTATAATTCCCAGCACCCTTAACAAACTACAGTTCCTAGGATTCTTTGGGGGAGCTGTATGCCTTAAATACATGGTATAGATGTGATTTGAGAGCAGGGCAATAGGGGGCATACACGTACACTGAAAGCACATGACTTCCCCCCAAGGATCCTTGGACCTGTGTTTTGGAAATTGCAGAGCTTACAGTGAGAAACCATGATTCTTTGAATCATGTGCTTTAAATACCGTATTTTTTGCTCTATAAGACTCACTTTTTCCCTCCTAAAAAGTAAGGGGAAATGTTTGTGCATCTTATGGAGCGAATGCAGGCTGCGTAGCTATCCCAGAAGCCAGAACAGCAAGAGGGTTCACTGTGCAGTGATCCCTCTTGCTGTTCTGGCTTCTGGGATTCAGAATATTTTTTTTCTTGTTTCCCTCTTCCAAAAACTAGGTGCGTCTTGTGGTCTGGTGCGTCTTATAGAGCGAAAAATACGGTATATGGTGTAGATCTTCCCTAACAAAGCTACAGAGAATGAACATGATCAAACACAGTTACTCATGCTTATGTATCACTGTGTTTCTCTTTGGCATTTGCATTTGCTTTTTAAAAAGCACCTTAAATCGTATCTCTTAATTCATTTGTTTGCAGCTGAATTCCTGCTCTGCTTACCCCTTCCATTTCATTGCTGTTGCTCCCCAAGCATTTCCCCTGCCTTAATTTCTTTGTAACCTTCCAGTTTCTCTATTTCCCCTCTCTTGGAAAAGCTGCCCATCTTGTATTGCATGCCTGTGGGCAGGAATGTCTGTCTGCGGGCTGTTGGGTGGGGGAGAGGGGACACCGGATGCGCCTTCAGGCATAGTGAGGAGCAAGGAAAAGGGATGGATCTGTTGCTTGCCTTGCAAGGGATTCTTGTAGGCAGAAATACATATTTTCAATCCAGCAGGGGATTTCAATTTGACAGTGGTTGCTTGGTTCACTGGAGGCTAGTGCATCAGGGCAAATGGATCCCCCAACCTTGGCCAGCCCCCACCTTCTGGCCTTCTTCCATACAACCTATGGGGAGGGGTGACTCTCCCTGTCATTGCCTCCAGCTCCTCCTACGACTGGGCTCCAGGCCCTCCACTCCACCAGTCCCAATGCACACCAGCCATCACTGATTTGGTTGCAGCCACTTTGGAACGGTAGGTGCAAAAGCAGAGAACAAATCAATCAGCTAAGAGCCTTGCACATTTGTGTAGCATGAATTTGCTCTCTGCTTTGCTCTGTGAGTGTGACAAAACAAGGCATGATTCCCCTTACAGATTATTGAAAGGACTAAACCAAAGGACTAAACCCCAGACTTGGCCCTCCAGCTGTTTTGGGACTACAACTCCCATCATCCCTAGCTAGCAAGACCAGTGGTCAGGGATGATGGGAATTGTAGTCCCAAAACAGCTGGAGGGCCAAGTTTGGGGATGCCTGGACTAAACGCTGCCCTTGTATCCCTGGGATAGTGAGTTATCCCTACATAACCCTACAATATGTCAAAAGGAAGGAAGGAAGGAGCAGGTGTAGAAGCTGGAGAGATACGTAGACAGGAGCAATTTCTGCCTCATATACCCATATATTTTGGAACACCTGAAACAACTTAAATGAATGCCATTGTGTGTGTGATGGTAGGGAATCCCAGTCTCTACCCCAGTGTTCTTCTGTGCTGATACAATCAAACAGTCTAGAAACTCTCTATAATAAAATCCCAGCACCATGGAAACCCATGGCAGAATTTGCAATATTATTAAATAGTACCAAACTTCCATCTTGCAAATTGTGCCAAACCTTCAACCTCTCACCCCAAAATCACACGAAGCAGCAAGTACAGCACTGGGTGCCGCATGGTTTTGCTTAAGCCAGAGAAAGGCAGTTTTGCAAGACTTTCACCAACACTCCTGATTCATAAGCTCATGGTTCCAATGCAGTTGCGCTATCACAAAGGCATTCAAAAATCTGTTGGGGTCATAAGTATTTTGCCTCTCTCTCCCTCTCTCTCTCTCTCCCTGCACCACCATTGCCAAAACTCACTCTCTAGAGAGAGAGCCACATGCACAATGTTAGCATCATTAATTCAAGTGCACACAGCTTAGCCATGATTCACTCTCCAAACAGCCTTCACGCTGCGGTTTGGAGCACTAATTTGGCTGACTCACTTGAACACCAGCCTTTTCAACACAACTTCAGCGACCAAAGGAGAGCCCTGTTCAGACATGTTGTTAAAAAGATAGCCTAACTCACCAGCTATTGGTGGGGTTTTCCTGTATCCTGTCATCTCCCCTCAGCTGAGATGCGGCTGGCAGAGGACTTACTAACAGAGTTGAGTTTTGCAGTGCAACAACAGCAGGAATAGAATGGTGTCTGTTTAAGGAGGGGAAGGAAGCAACTGGTTCCTATTACATATAAAGCAAAGCCATAGGTTACAGCACAAGTTTTTGTCTTTGGTTTTTTGTTGTTGTTGTTTTTTAAGCAGCAGAAGGCCCTGCTGTAGTTTATAGAGGAACCAGTGCAGTGCAAAGTGCAACAAGCTCATCCTTCGACCAGGCAGCAAGATCTGTAAAGGTTTTCAGGAAACAAGATCCTGGCCAGAACATTGGCAGGCAGCAATCGCAGCTTCTATGCCTGCTGGGTGTATATGCCTTTGCACCCAAAGAGACAGAGAAACCTAAACGCAAGAGTCTTGCAGGACCCACAACGGAGAAAAGGGTGTTGACCCTGACTCAGACCACACAGGGAAGTGCATAAATCAGAGGCATCGTGGGCAGGACCACGGGGCACTAGAAGACCAGGCCAAACTGCACTCGCCCTGTGTTGACATGTGGAGTTAAAATGCTCAGCAGAAGTTGAACTTGACACTGAATCCGTGTTGGAAGAGCACGCTTTACCCTGGATATAATCGCATTGCAACTCTGAGTTTAGAGAAACAAGAAAGCTGAATTTATTACAGGAAATACATTCCTCCTGGAGCTAGGGATCGTCCTTATCTAACAAAGGTGGAGAAGTGGTGCTTGCTCTTACATCACAGGTTAAGTCAGGAAGGACAGTCGAGGAAACATGAGATTCCTCTCTCTACCGGCTCTTTCCCATGCAAACAAATCAGCCTCCGGTGCAAGCTGAGTTCCAGAGGGGGTGGTTTTAGGGTAGCACGACTGGTACACGGGTGCCCAGGGTGCCACACTGCAGGGGGTGCCACAACAATGCTGAAGAACGGAGCAAGAGAGTTGGGGGCGGCAAATTTTAGCATCGCACAGGGCACTGCTGAAATTTGAGAGCCCCAAGTTCATGGGTGGCGCTGCGGTCTAAACCACTGAGCCTAGGGCTTGCCGATCAGAAGATCAGCAGTTTGAATCCCCGTGACGGAGTGAGCTCCCATTGCTCGGTCCCAGCTCTTGCCCACCTAGCAGTTCAAAAGCACATCAAAGTGCAAGTAGATAAATAGATACCGCTCCGGCGGGAAGGTAAACGGCATTTCCGTGCGCTGCTCTGGTTGACCAGAAGCGGCTTAGTCATGCTGGCCACATGACCCGGAAGCTGTACGCCGGCTCCCTCGGCCAGTAAAGCGAGATGAGCGCCGCAACCCCAGAGTCGTTCGCGACTGGACTTAACTGTCAGGTGTCCTTTACCTTAAGTCCACCACTGGTTACATTCCAACACACTGAACTTGCAGAAGGAGTTGTGTCACTTGAACCGCCCTTTTCTAGCTGCCCGCCCCCAATTTGTCCCCAGCTCCTGCAGAAATTGATCAGTCACTGCAAATGGAAATGAGCTCTGAATGTGCATCTAGAACAGTGACCCCGGTCATTGCTGCACTGAAACAAGGGCGACTGGAAGATCCCCTTTGTGCCTCCCTGAACCTGGGAAAGAGTCTCCGCTGCTAGGAATAGAGTCCAACAACATCTGAAGGGCACCATGTTGACTACTCCTGGATGAAAGCAAACACAGGAGATGGGTCTGCAAAGGATGGAGAGAATGAGGAATAATCTGGGAAGTAAGAAGGTCTGCCTCCAGAGGCAGATTTTGGCAACAGGCGATCAAGTATTAATTTATTGTCGTATTTTACCACCCTTGCGGGCACTATTTAGGCAGTCCGCCTCAGGCAGCAAAGTGTCTTGACTTGGATCATATTTCTTTTGATGGGGTTCACGAGAGAAGAGGGAGGGAGAGAGAGATTGGACTGGATTTTTAAAATGTTGAGGTGTTAGAGCATTCACAAGACTTTTTTAAAAACCAAAAACAATGAACACCAGTTACACTAAACCCTAATTCCACCACACACACACAAACATTTTGTTACCATTTCTCCTGATCGCTTCTCTTTAAAGACCGAGTTCATAGTAGGGTTTGTGCTGCCCTAAATTTTGTTTTTACTCATGTACAAAATTGCAGATGATCTCCTAGCATGGAATTGTATGTTGCATTTTAGAAAAATGCTTTGAGTCAATTTTTTGAAAATAAGGGGGGAAATAGTTTCAGATAATAGTATTTTTTATCTTATTTCCCCCCTTATTTTCAAACACTCCTCATTTACACATACTTACTACCCTAAGCCTGTAAACTTGACAATAATTCCTACTTATTTCAATGGCGCTTGCTTCTAAGCAAGCGTGCTTAGGAGAATCTTAGCACATTTACCACATTATAATTAAATTTATTGGGATTTGCTTCACAGTAGACAGCCATTAAGATTATGCTGTAAAACATTGCTCTTATTGTTTTGTTTTAAATGGGAGTCAGTCACGAGAATTTCAATTGGGACATTTGGCCATTTTTATCAACAATTTTCTTTCAACATTTCCAACTGCTTATCAATATAGCACAAAAATATAGCACGGCTGTCTCTCTTTTGCCAAAGTTATCAGAAGTGGGGAAACATCTCTGAACGCGGCAAGCAGGTAATGTAATTTGTGTATTGCTTCGTAATTGCTAACAATACTACCATGGGTGTAGCCAAGGGGCCCATCAAGTAAAACAATAGAAACACCTAACTAACTGACCAATCACGTCGGTTCTGCCCCCCAAACAAAAGTCCTGCCCCCCCGAAGTCCTTCCTCCCCCCAACAAAAATCCTGGCTACGCACATGAATACTACCGTTACTGCTATGTATGCTATTTTCGCAATCAGAACTTCAAGAAAGCAAATATTACTGGCGAAATGATGGCTTCTATATAAACACACACATGCAGAAAAGATGGAAATTCTCAATTCTTCATTCTAAGCATATTCCAAATTATTGGAAGTACAGTAATCAAATGCACTTCTCCATTGCTGAGGACTGTGCAGTTTTACACCCTCATAGCCTTGGAGAATTATTGGGCAGGGAGAAGACCCTTTTCGAAGTTTCCATGATACATATGTACAAATAGTTTAATATTTGATGACTGATATGTGTCCTCTCAGCATTAACTATGCACAATTACCGTGGCTTTTTCCAACCAAGGCATCGGACACCATAACCCGGTTTTAAATTAAATCTGCAGCTATAGCCAAGTGACCTTCAACTGTGTTGTGGAACTGGCAGATTCCAGCAGTTTCGCGTTTTCAAAAGGACACCGAGAAAGAGACAGAGCCGCCTATGTCCAAGAAAGAGGTCCCAGTGTGAAAGGGAGGGGGAGTCCCTTCTCTGTGTTACTTAGGTTTCTCTAATGTAGCTTAATTACTTTTAACCTCTGGAAACAATTAGGTAACCGTCCTTTGAAGTGAGACAGACAACTTGTCAAGCTGAGGGCAGCAGAATGCCAATAATTGTTTTCTTTATATGCACTGTGAATAGACGTGTGTGTGTGTGTGTGTGTGTGTGTGTGTGTGTGTGTGTGTTGGAAAAATGAATTGGGTCAGGCGCACCCACGAACCTAGTTATGGCAAATGTTGGGTGCTCAGGATTTGGAATAGATTTTTGATGAGCTAGGTATCGTTTGTGGAAATTCCGGGAACAAATCTGTTCCGGCTCCACACAAAGCAATTAGAACTCCATGGTATGGAAAGCATAGCCCCCCTCCCTTTCCTGGAAAAACCAAATAAATGAAAAGCGCGAGGGCGCGCGCAGGTCTGCAGGAAGCTCAGACTCTCGGTTTGCAACCTCCGCATCTCCTACAAACGCCCATCTTCTGTGATCTGGCCTCAGGATTATGGCAGTTCCGTCTCAGGTGCCTTTCCTGAGCCTTCCTCGATCAAAGGGAAGCCCGAATGTCAGCAGTGATTGTGAGCTGAAATAAGATAGCTCTGAACCGAGGAAAGCGGCCTGGGGTGCGGGGAGGATGGGCGCAGGGCGCGGCGGATGCGCTGAGTATCTTTGGACAGCGCATCCCCTGGCAGAGACGGGGCGGGACGCGGCCCCGCTCGCCGAGACGCCTCGTTCCAGGCGAACACAGCGCCCATTCTCGGATCAGATCACATCAGGTGGAGAAGCGCGGACCCCTGAGGCCGCCTCGCCGGTTCTGACCTCGGCAACCCCGCGCCAAGGTCGTGCCTGCCTCTCCTCCAGGCTGGGAGCCGCTCAGCTCCAAGGAGGAATTCGGGTGTGGCTCCGAAGCTGAAGCGAGCGCCACCTTCGTTCCGGCTCCTCAGAGGCGAGCCGACTTGGCCAGAGGAGACTGGAGGTGGGGAGACTTCCAAAAGCCCCCTTTGGGCGCAGTGTTGGCCTGGAGTTTGGGGCACCACTGACCCGTGGAAAGTCTTCAGTGCCCTAGGAAACCACCGAGGCCAGTAGGATTTAGGATCCCAAAATACTTTTGAGCTATAGAATCCGCCGCGGCCCATAGGCGCGGCTTGCGCACATGCTTAACCCTGGCCGGCGCTTGAACAGGACTGGGGGGGGGCGGTTCCGCGGAATTCAAAACGGAGGTCGACAAAGACCCCCGGGGGTGGGCAACAGGGCTGATACAGGGGCAGTCCCCACCCCCCAGGCCTGGCACCGCACAGGGCTAAAAAAAATATTTTTTGATTTGAAGGGGGGGACCGGCCCCACAACCGCTGTCGAACAACACGCCGCCGCATGCCCTCTTTGGCTGTACTCCACACCCCTCCACCCCCACTTCCTGGCCAGGGGATTCCCCCGCCCCGCCGGGCTCTCGGGGCTTTGACCGGCTCTTTTGCGCAGCAGCCAGCCTGCAAGTCCCGGCGCGGTCCCGAAAATCTTTCCCGTGCCGTGCGGACGCCCCGTCTGCTTAGGCGAGCCGGAGGGAAGAGGTTTCTTCCTCCCCAAACACCGCCCCCCCGCCACCTCTCAAGACAGTGGCGGCTGCTGCTCAAGGCAACATCTCTATTTTCTCCCTCTCTAACCAGAGAAGGGAAGAGAAAGGTCCCCCTTGAGGCGCGCGTCACCTTGGCGATGTAGCAGCGTTGCAGCGCGCTCTCCCTCCTGCTCCGCCGCGGGGGAGGCCACTTTCACTTTCCGCTCTCCTTGCGCGCCCGTGCGCGCTCCCCTCAGCAGACGAAGAGACCAGCTCTTCGTCGTTACCTTCCCTAGACACCCCGGGCAATAAATAAATCTCGCGCGGTTCCTTCCAGCCGCCAGAAAACTGCGGCGGATGGGACGCCTCCCTCGGACTTTTTAAAGACTCTTTCTACTTTCCCCTGCCCGGCCTCCCGGTTCGTCTTCACCTTCGATGGCTCCTTTTAATACTGTCCCCCGCCCTCCTCTCTCCGCTCGTGCCTCGGATCTGTATCCCTGGCCCCCATTTTCATGCCACCGAGCTTTCCCATTCTTGTCCGCCCGCTGCTCTGTCTCCGCGGTTTGCTGCGGCGAGGCAGCCGCCTTAGTACTCCGACTTTCAGTTCATCAACGCCACTGACAACCTGCAGGAGGACACTGGCTCGTATCGAAATCGCCTTTGGGGGATTCAGTGGCTGCAGGCCGGCTGGTTCTAACCACGCCGTTTTATCCCGACTTGGAAGGGAGCCGTCGGGACTGGGCCGATGGACGTGCCAAGCACATCGGGTGCGGCGCAGTTCTTGAAACCAGCGCGCGCACCACGTACGGGCACCCCGGACGCCCCCTCCCCAACACCCACCAGCCCCCACCATCTTAGCCAATAAGCAGAGAGGTGTAGTTCAGCAGCACCTGGAGGGCGCCAGGTTGGCTCCCCCTGGCGCGCGCGCAATCCTAACCCCCTAAGGACAGCTCCATTGCATGAGCGAGCCACGGCCGCCTTTCGCAGCAATATACCGCCTCCCACCCCCTGCTTCAAGAGCCCTTCCATCCCGCTTGCTTGCCTGAGATTTTTCCCCGACGAGCGGTACGCTTAGCGCGTGCTGCCCGCCTCTCTGCTGACCCGAAGACACGAGTCGTGGGAACGGGCAGCAACGTTCGCCTGTCAGGGTGGCAGATAAGACGGCGCGGGGAGCCGGGGAGCAGCAGGGCGAGTCTCCCCACCTCCCCCCCCCGCCGTACCCCCACTTCCTTCCCTAAAAGAAATCTGCCAGCTCTGCTTCAGCGAACTCCTTCCACCCCCGATCTTGCCCCTTGCGGGTTTTGCCCCTGCTCGTCCCGCCCCCAATACAAATATATACCGTATATTTATATATTTTAAAACCCTTCTTTCTCCCTTCTATTAACACTTCGTTGAACAGCTTAAGGGATGAAGGGTTGGCAGTTGCCTACAGAAGGTTTCAGTTCGCTTTCCGTAGGAGGGAGCGAGCGGGGTCGGTGGGGGGTCGCCCAGCTCCCCAACTTTGCTTCCAAGGGCAAAAGGCGCCGCGAGGATTGGGGAGCCGCAGCCGCAGCGACTGCAGGTTCTGGGGAGCCTCCGGGCCGCGCAAAAAGGAAGACCCGAGAAAGTCAGTAAACACCAGGAGGGGGGAGGGGGGGTCTCCTGTCTTTTGTCTTCGTTTGCTGGTCTGTCAGCGACTCCCCCCACTCCCACCCTCCCAGTTTGGCTCGGGCTTGGGGAGGTTTGCAGCCAAAACAAGGCAGAAAAACGCCGCGGCCGGCCCGCTCCTGAACTTCTCACCTTGAAAAACAGAACCAAAACAAAACACGCGAAAGAGTACCATTTAGTGACAATCGCCTCGGTTTCTTTTAACCCTCTTTTACAAGGGCCTTTAATTGTATTTTATAAGGATGAAGAGACCACACAAACAAACATACAAACACACACACACACACACACACACACACACACACACACACTACTACACATTCCAAACTAACAGGAGCCTAACAATCAGAACGAGGGGCGGAAAAATTTAGCGTTTGGGAGGCGGCGGCGGGGAATTATTTATACCTTTGACATTTAAAAGAGCATAATTAATTTGTCCTGTTTGCCTTAACATTGTTGGGGAAGGCTTCCTAGACAGCAAAAAAAAAAAAGATGGGGGGATAGAAAAAGGCACAGAGAGCTCGGAGGCCGGCGCTGGTCTCTCCCCCACCCCTTTCAGATCTGTAATCAATCACTGGAGGCAGGGATATTGTAAAGATTCGATAGATTAAAATGCAAATGAAAGGTAGAATAAGAAACATTAACATGGCAATCAAAGATTTAATAATCGTAAATCAGGGAGGGCTTTTTTGTTGGTGTTGCAGCTGCACTTTATTTATTTATTTTAACTTTAATTATGTTCGTTCTATAAATAAATAATTTCTGAACCGAGACTTTAAAAAAAATAATCAGGATTTTTAACCATGAACTCCAGTACTCAATCTCTTTCCTTTAAAAACCGTTCAAAGGTTTTGTTTGTTTCATTAATGGGGAAGAAGAGAGAATAAATCTTCTAAGATGGTATTCAACATTCCCAACCTAAAATCCTGATCCAAATAAAAATTGTCGTTTCAAAATTCAAGATATTTATTTGCCTACATCGTTGTAGCACTGGTCAAAAGTGGGTGGAGAGAGGGGCGGAACAAGAAATATATTTTAAAAGATGCAAGAGGAAGGAGATCCTCACAATAATGACTTTAACATCCAGATTGTTTTATTAGCCGATATTGCCATTTTAAAACAGATGAGAAACGCTCAACTGTAAAGCTGTGATCTATCTAAGCAGGAGGGAAACCTGCCAGCAAGTAATTTCTCCTCCAGAACTTTTTCGGACCTCCCTTCTCCAAAATGAAACAGCAACAATATTAACTAGGAAATGTTTTCTGCTGGCAATTTCGCAGTGCAGAAAGGTCTCAGATCGGTGGCTTTAGCCCCCACCCCACACGCGCCGCGTGTTTTCGTGGTGCTGTCGTCTTACATGCAGATTCCGGATACATTTACCTGAAGTCTGGCCCCATCAATCGAGCGCTCCTGCTTTTTCATTTAAAGGGCGTTTAAGTTCGGGTGGTGGCAGTTCAATTGACTTTCAATGGGAACAGACAGTCTAAATACACCCCCAGGAGACTGTAAATACCCTCTGAGTTGGATTCTAGAGAGGGGCTTTTTCATGCCTCACACCCCGATCTTAAATACAGTCACAAGCAGTCCTTTTCGCAGAATTCACTGCCATGAAATTGCGCTCAGATTTCACAACATTTACTCGGGACCTAAATCCCGCAAAAGTTAACTGGATTTGCTGCTCAGAAAATAGGTGTGCAGCGATTGTTATGCAGTACTCGAGGATGAGTACCGAAACCCGTCTAACATTGTGGGTTCTATTCCGTATTGCGTTTATTTTAAAAGTCCTGCTTCGCGCTGTTGGGTCATCTCCTGCAGGGACGGGACTTGGAGATTTATTTTTTTAAGTGGAGTAAACAAGGGAGGAGCAAAGTGGAAATCCTTTGCCTAAATTTGGCATTTCCAGCAGCATCACCTTCTTCTTATTTTCGCCTTGAAAGATGGGGTGAGAGATGTCTGGTTAGCAATTCCCACTTATCCAAATTATGTATATATAGAAATATATTAAAGGGAACATGACGAATTTCGAAAATTGCTGCCTTGAACAAGGCATAATCCTCTGGATGAAATATCCAAGCGGTTATTTTATCCAGAGGATTAATATGCCACATTTTTCCCCTAGTCCGTGGCTAAACAAATAATCTTCGCAGTATTTATATATTTTGGTGACAATACAGCAGGAGGGTCGGAGAATCGCACAATCACCATTTTACACACTTTACGCGGGGCTGCTGCAATCCTGAGCATGGGGTTTTTGTTTTTCCTTTTTTTATTTTTAGCTTCAATTGAAATCAGTGGGACATACCACCTAATAGGCGAACTTACTCGAATCAGAGTACAAGACACAGAGAGAGAGAGACACACGCCGCCCTTTGCCTCTTCTCCCCTCCTCTCCTGTGCAACACGCTGCCTCGATTTGCCCCGTGGCTCGTGTCAGCTCCACGCCACGGTGCCACCCTGTTCCCGAGTCAGGGACAAGGTGTGGACTAATTTCATTTTCTTGACTGGTCAGGTAACCAACCCGTTGGCTGCCAGCTACCTAAGGCGACGCGATCCTAAGGGAGAATCTGGAGGCGATCACGCTAAATCTGCAGCGCGCATTAAGGACACGGAGGGTGCGGGTGGGAGGAAAGCGGGGCTTTAAAGGGAGGCTTTAAAGTGCTGCGGGCTGCTAAGTGCTTCCAGATATAGCCTTTGTCAATTTCCCTGTAGAGCTCCATTCATCAAAGGAGAGGCTAGTTGCGGGGAGGAATCGCGGGTACTTATTCTCAACTTTCCTGCGCCCACTTTGGGCAGCGCGCATCACGAGCCTCCCGCCCTTCTTTCCCCATCAAGGACTTGCTCCTTGTCCGGTTGAAACGCAGCAAGGCAAGTCCTTGATTTTGCATTTCACCAAAAGGTTACGCAAACCTCTTAACAAGAAAGGAGAAGGAAATCGTGGCGGTGAGGTCCCTGCAGAATCAGGTAGCGCGCGCGCCAGATCGCCGCCCCTGTGCAGCGCTAAAGTTCTCTCTCTGTGTGTCTTGTGCGCGCGCGCGCGTATCTCCTGACCCCACAATGCACAGCTCGGTTTCATTGATCATCTCACTCCCCCCCATCTCACCCCTCCCCTTTATGAGATAATGCAATTACAAACATCAATAAGAAGCTGCAAGGGGAATCATTATGCGGTGACAGTGATAAATGACGCTGCAGAAATAGCAGGCTTTTTTTTTCCCCTAACAGTCCGGGAGCCCAGGGGCTTTGGGGGCCTGAACGCAGTTACCGAGGAAACAGATGACATCCAAAATGGCACCAAAGGAAAAAAGAAAACAAAAAAAGAGCAGTCCTTTCTTTTGCCTTTCACTCTCCTTCTCCCGCTCCCACCCCCAATGGATCCAAAGAGTTAGTTTTGGCTTTAGAAACAGCTGCCACACAGGCATTTAGTTATTTCACACATTAAAGCCCTGGAAGATTTCCTCTGTCCACTACATAAAATACAAAGCTGCTGAGACTGCTTAGGAGTTTATTAACTACCTTCTAGCGAGAACCTGAACAAAAGCAGATCTTGCGTTATCACGATTCTAGGACAAATGGCCCGATTCGGCAAAGTGGGGGGGTCAATCTCCGCCCCTTATAAGACAGACACACACACACACTTTTTACAGAAGATCTTAGTGTACTTTGCGTCTTCTAACGGTCTAGTAAGGGCGGCCCTTTTGCGATTCCAAACCTTGAGCCGGGGAGTCCTTTTTACACCTCCAGTAAACACAGCAAAGTCACACAAAGAGGATAGACACACAAAGACTAACGGAATGGTAGCTTTAGAATACAAGATCAAGTGCACACTCTTCACATCCACAAACCTATTCCTTGGGGCGGGGGATATCAAACACACTTGGAGATTTTCGCTAGGATCCCCGGGTGGACATTCTTACAAGTCATGGGTTTAGGATCAACGCGTAAGGCAACCCAGAGGAACAACAGCCTGCGAAAAACTTTCTAAATTTCTCGGTCTTGATGCCCGCCTAAACATCTACCTAAACTCTCTGGAATAACTGCTTATATTGTTGACTAGTTGTGGTGGGCGCGCTTCGCATGAAAACCGATTGGCAGTGCGATGCGATAGGTCGACTCGGGAGTAAATCCTTTTGCGCTCAGTGGCGCTTAGTCCTGGGTGAGTTGCAGCCTTCTTCAGCAGAATCATTCAGCAGCGCATTCTAACTGGAAAGGTTCCCTTGAAAACCTGCCCCTTAAGGGTCTATGAGTCTGAACGCTCATGTACGTGCGTGGAAGATGGTGTCTTTGTCAGCCTAAAATTGCTTTTCACTGCTAGCCACACTTGGGCACAATTCCAAAATTAATTCACAAGTTGTGGAGCAAGCCTTGCTTGGAAAGACCCCTCCCGCGCCAGTCTTTGCACACAGGAGGAGCGACAGATTCACTTTTAAGGCATAGTTTACCTTTTTAAATTTTTTTTAAAAACAGGGGGGAAACCTCCACACATCTTCCCAAACACACAACACCCACGACTTTTTAAGGTGCCACTTTTAACTCAAGCGTCCGCCACCGTTTGCGAAGCACCTTGGAGACAGCAGCCGGCCAAAGGCAAGTCGCTCGCCTTGGGAGGTTTGTGACCGGCAGCGGCGAGGAGAAGCCACTGGCTGAGTTTGCTATTCCGGGTCCCTTTAGGGACTTCTCGGACTTTCGGGTGCGTTTCGCTCGGCTGGAAAGGCTCCACACGCACCCCCTTACACGGGGATTCCTTCCAAAACACACACACGTTGGATGGATTTCGATAAAGTAGGAGAGGATATATGGAACTGATATTATCTCACGTGAGGGAGGTTTAGAGCTTGAGGAAGAATAACCTTTGTTGGTTACACACACACACACACACACAGGCTGCACGCCTTGCAGGAAGGAGGGTATGAGAAGGTAAGGAGATGGCTCTCTTCTTTACACTCTCGCACATACTTTGAAGGATCCGACTGTGATTTTTGACACTGGAGAAAGAGAGAGGAGAAGTGGGGGGCGGGGGAGACTCCCACTCCAAGCACAGAAATGTCCCCAGGTTCCCTCTTCTGGGCTGGATGATGCTGGTCCCACCCTTTCCTTCAGTGCAAATGAACCCTCAGAAAAGGGCTTTGGTCGGAGGAGAGAGAGGCTGGCAGGACCTGGCCGCCAGGGCCGCACTGAGAAGTGGGCATGAGAGGCCGAAGGAGACAATCGAGAGCAGGCTGGCTTGAACAAGAAAAGAAACAAAGCGGTTATCTTCCGAGGAGGCTGGAAAGTTGAGTGGGTGAGGGGATAACAGCTAATCCCGGCTTGTGATGCCGGATTTTAGGCGGCGGGGGCAGACTCACACGTGGTGCTTCTTTTGCCAGCTGACACGTGTTCCGGGACGAAATCCCACCCCCGCCCCCACGACCAGAAAGAAGCGGAGCAAATCGCCCTTTTCTCGCTTTTCCCTTCGCGGGTCGAGCTTGTCTGCAAACAAAGCTGGGCGAGGAAAAGTTTTGCAGGACTTTAAAAAGGAGGCGGGCGGAGAAAAGGGGGGTAGACCTCCGTCCAGCAACACACAAACACCAGCATCCTCTCCCCCGCCCCAGGAAACGAATAGCAACAGCAACAAAAATCCCCTCTCCCAAATCCGTGTCGTATCGATCCAACTGCTTTGCCTTTCTGTTTTTTTGCCTTTTGGAATAAACCTGCCCTATACTATCCAACGCCACTTCATGGTCAGGGAAAAGGCAGGGGAGGAGCGGGGTCGCGCTGGGGAGAAAAGGAGATCTCTCTGTTCACAACGGCCAAAGGGGGACCGGAGGGGCCATCTGTTAACTTGGGAGGAGGACGGAGACGCTTCCGATTCTGCGGCTGACAAATGCAGAAAGAGGCGAAGCCCTTTGCCCGGCTGGGCTAGTGGTCCCTCCCGCCCCGTTCGGGGGTGCTGCCTCTAGAGGGGGCCTTGCGCCCCACCCTCGCCCACCCCACCGGACTCCGCTCTGCAGGCTCCTGGGAGAAGCCGGGAGTTCAAATGCAGACAACAAGATCTCCATGATTCAGCTTCTCCAAACACACACGCACCCCCTGCCCAGGAAAAGTGACAAGGGCAGCAGCAGACTTGGGGTGGATCCGGCGGCGGCACTGATAAAAAGAAGGACAAGGTGTATTAAATCAAAACAAAAATAAAACTAAAGTATTGTTTTAATCGCAGCGACCCTAATCTTGGAACAATTGTATTATCCGCGCAATAACTCTACGGAGAACCTTGGTTGGGGGTTTAAAGGCGGGGGAGGAGGGATCATGTCCAAACACGACGGTAAAAGTTCTCCACTACCAGCTGCCCGCACACCCCGCCGATCAAGCGGGATTTCTCGCAATTTCTCAAGTGACACTCGACTCGGTGCAATACGGTACCCTCGCCGCGCACAAAACAGGCAAAGAGGAAGCCCCAGCGCGCATGCGGCAGCGTCGGACAATCTTTGCAGGGGCGGGGAGGGGGGGGGGAGAAAGAGCTGACAAAAAAGCAAGACCGGCAGGGACGCCGGAAAACTTTTGCGCGGAACTTGGGGGAGAAAAAGGCGGCGGGATCCGGGGTCTCCCCCTCCAGCCCAGCCCCTCTCTCTGCAAATGCTTCCATGCAGAATGGCCAAGGCGCAGAGCTAGTTCCCTTCTGCGCTCCAAAGTATTTTCCCTAGCAAGCACAAGTGGGAGCCCAGATTTGGACTCGGGGGGCTGGGGAAGAAGCAGCACGAGGACGGGAGGGAAGGAAAGCGAGGAGGAGGAGGAGGAGGAGGAGGAAGAGGGCGGGCTCCTACCTATCGGGTCGTTTTTCCATATCCCCAAAAGATGGCAGTCGAAGCTGACATTCCTTCTCCTTGGGCTCTGCAGCGGGTGGCAGCGAGAGGGGGAAAGAGCGAGAGAGAGAAAGGAGGAGGAACGGGGGGGGGGGGAGAGGAAGGAGGAGGAGGAGGAGGACAACTGATCTGTTTTCAAACTAATCCCTCCAGAGATTTTTAAATACAGACAACCGCACTCCGCTCACAGCGCTGCAAAACGGGAGACGTTTAAGCGCGCGCGCTTGGAGAGCTTCCCTTTTCGCACCGCTCCGCGCGCGCGCTGGGAATCTGCGGAACAGAGCAGCAGACGCGCCAGAAACCAGGACATCTTTGTTCGCTGCGCGCACACACACACACAACCCCACCGCGCGCATCGCTCCACTCCCACAAAACACACGCGCATTTTCCGATACAGACATAAATTAATCTCGCTTTCTTTGTGCTAGACGGCTCTCGGAAAACTTAATTCCCAGCTTCGTTTTTGAAAGGGGGGGGGAGAGACTAAAAGTGGATCAACGGCTATGGCAGCAGCGCCTTGTCTCTCCATAGAGGGTTACTGGGTGCTCTAAGAGGGAGGGAAAGCGCCTGTTTCTTTATTTTCTCCTTTACTTAAAGCAGATCCAAGTGCATGAATTGCAATCTGGTTGCCAAATAATAAAAAAAACTTTCCCCCTCCCGCCCCCCAACACACACTCTCTCCCTCCCTTCTTCTCTTTCTGTTGCTGCTGCCTTTGCTTTGAATGTGGGTAGCTAGGAAACAGCGAGCAGGCTGAGAAGGCGGAATTTCCAACGTGTAAAATGTTCTTAACGGAGCCATTGAGAGTGTGCAATAAGGCGTGAGGGGGAACTAATCTCTCCATTTAAATGTTTGTGGCAATTTTATCTAAATGAATTTTAATGCTAAACGAGGGATAATTCCCTATTTGTAACCCGTTTACTTTCTCTTTCCTTTGCCTGTAAAAGCCGTCTAACATCATGCGATGAACAATAACAAAACAAAACAAAAAACATACTCTCAAGGCATATTATTCATTAATGTGTTATAATTGCAGCTGATTGTCTTGGCAGATAATACAGAGAGGGTTTGGGGTGTGGGTACACACAAACATACCCCAGACCCTCTCAGTATTTTTACGGTAATATATATATATAGATGTCCCCCTTTAATAACGTGAAATGCACAAAAATAAATCACGTCGATGAAAGCAATAAAATCTCCCTTCTCTTGAAAAAGTGGTATATTCGGGTATTTTTCCACTCTTGAAAAGGAGTGGTTTTAAGAAAGGATATAACACTGGCAAAGAGCTTAACAGTTTATGTTTTGGCAATGCATGCATTGTTAATATCGCCTCATGCTGCAGAAAGAAGAAAACAACAATTTCCTGACCTTACAAAGTTGGAAAGGGGAGCTTCCTCAGACAAGGGGAAGATGAGAAAGGTCATTGGCTGGCAACTCTCCAGAAATCCACCCCCTCTTCTGCCATTGATGCATGTGGCTTGATGGTTATGTACTGGGGTACCACTATCCTATCAGCTGTGAAGCTGTGTATTATGGTATTATAACCCCAAACAGATGGACAAAATAGAGTACTTAAGAGGAAAGGCTACTATTTAATTGGGTGGGGGGAGTCATTAGCTGACAATGAAAACACACGGCTGAAAACGGCACTTCCTTCTGAAGAGGGCAAAATCAAATGAGAGTGTTTAGGACAATAAAACAAAGCTCTGGCCATGAAGGGAGATTAGTTTGGGGGAGAAGCTGCATGGCTGGATCCCAGGCTTAATTCAGTGCCAGGGATAGGTGCAGTGCTGTTGGGCATGTGCAGAGTGCATTCCCTTACCATTAACAGTGGAAACTATGAGCATGGCTTCCAGACCACAGGGGGGCTGCTTCTAGTCACCCTTCAGGCCTGGCATCTTTTATTTGAGAAATTTGGCACTGATAATATCTCCAATCCCACACCAGTAAAAAGGAGAGAAGCAGAATGCTTCAACAGTAGGTAAACATAGCCTACTAAAGCCACAAAACAATTGGTCCCTCTTAAATCAAAACGTGATTGTTATGGGTGGGTTCACGGGCTGACATCTATCTGAATGGGAGGCATCAGGGCTCTCACCGCTGAGCTCTTTTGTTTGTGTTAAGTAGTTAGTGCTATCATCTTTTAAAAGTTATTTTTTAAAATAGTGACTAGGACAAACCTAAAACATTTGTATATTTGTCATGCCCTTAAGAAACATTTACAACAGTCGTGATTTTATCTGGAAGAAAATTATAAGGATTTCTAACCTAAACATGCTGTTTGGTTCTATTTAACCAGTTGGCTGTCTTGCAGAAAGTACAGCTGTGCTGGAAAATTGGTTAATGACCCAGTCTACAGCCAATCACAGCACAGTTTTTATTTATGAGCATTAGATTTTTTAAAAGTCCACCATCCTTTTACTACAAGTAGTTAATGCACACGTATTCAGATTTAGGAAGGTGGTTTTTTAAAAAACAAAAACAAAAACTGTGCTATACCCCTTCAAATGTCACATGTGTGTCATTTTAAAAGATGAAATATTTTAAATTCCACCCAGCCTTATGCGGTCAGTTCTTCCCTTTTTCTTTTTGCCTTGAAATCTTAAAATTTGATAATTCAGTTATCACCCTGAAAATATACAGGGTAAGCTATAAGAAAGTTCACTAGCACAGGGCAATATAAAATAATTTAGTATGGGGGGGAGTATTAATAAGGTTGTCTGGAACTAAAATTTAATTATTTCAAGAGAGAAATTGACATATTACTATGAAATTGCTAGATTTTTGGAGGGCTGGGGCAGTAAAATAAAATTTTCAAGCAGTTGAGCCAGCGTGACAAAAATAATTTGCTTTTATTTTAGATTCAGATTTCATTACTGCACTCAAACTACTACAACTGGGCTTTGAGTTATTGTACAATCCAAACGGTTTCAATCAGAAACTCTAAGACTCAATGTGCAATGATTATTATTAATAATTAGCTCCTTGGTTTCTTGATAGAAAAAGGCTATCAACAAGCATTTGTTTAACCACAACAAAAGTATAATTAGCTTATCCCACTTAGTAAATCTGTATGCATGCCAACTCATACCAAACTGCTACTTTTACAAAAAGAAAAAAGAAAAGCAATAATACAGTTCATTTTTCCAGTCCTTTTTGCACAAAATTTATTTACAATGTATACATATATGCTCCATGATGGGACTATGGAAAAATGCACATGACTGATGTTTTGCCCAAAAAATAAAGTCAACATAGTAAAATAACTCTTCAGTTCATGTTCTGAGCGGCATAAAACAGGAAGTGATGTAGGTGGTTGTTGTTGTTGCTGCATGGGGACAGTGATGCTCTGATGTGACAATTAGGTTCAAATACACTTTCTCTTGGTTTCCATGCCTCCTCCAACCAGTCTCCTTAAGACATTGCCTGCAACAGCTGATTAATCATTTTCGAGGACTGCAGTTTTTCCCATCCTTCCCGATTTACATCTGTTCAGGCCAATTCAAATATGGTGAGTAAATGAATTAGACATGCAAATTCACGCCCCAGGCTAGAAAAAAAGGGGGGGAGGGAGGGAGGGAGGAAGACAGACAGAGAGAGAGAGAGAGACAGAGAAATACAGAGTGCATGGCTGAAATCCTAGGATAGAAGAAATGTTCTTCTGCCTGACAAAGATATTTTAATGCTCTAAAAATCCTGCAAATATATCTTTTTTGCCATTTGCAGGGTAATTGTAAGGCCTTTTTATGTAAGGAGGCTTCTGGAGGAAGTGAAGAGTTATGGAAAGAACACACATAGTGTGGAAAAAAATTCACATTTTTTTTCTTAAAAAATCTATAAGAAACAACGTAATATGGATAACAGAATAATAGCATTTTACAATATTCCACTCTGTTGCCTTATATAGTTATTTTGCATGTCCCCAGAAGTTGACTTCAGTTGGCGTGTCTTTCCTGCTTTTCAGGGTCCCTATAAAGACAAATATAGGATTGTTCCTTGGTCCAGACTAGATGCCAAGAATGAAACTCCGCTAAGTCATTGAAGAACGACAGTATTTCAAATTTGCCATTATTGAAGATAAAGTATATTCCCTTAAGCTACTGAGCATGAATGTCCATCACTTGTCCACTCATTGCTGGGTCTCCTGTATTGAGCATTGTGGGGCTAGTTGCTGGCATCTGCATTCCAGGGTGGGGTGGTCCTCCATGCATCATCATTGCTGGGTGGTGTGGGTGTCCAGGAATGTAGGTATGCATGGGGGGCCCATGACGCAGCTGAGCTGGATGTGGGGGCATCTGGGGTGGTGTATAGCTTGGCTGTCCCATATTCATGCCCATTGGACCACCCCTAGACACATAATCCCCTGGCATACTTTGCAGTCCTGTGGAGGAAGAGAGACACTTGTAAATATCAAATCCCGTTTCTCTAAAGGCAATAACACTGTCTTCTCAAGTCAAGGTTTCGTTTGAGGAGTAATATTACGGCACGTGAAGGCCCTGGGAACAGGCAGGCAAACATTTGGTACGCAATAACAAAAACATTTGTTTGCAGATGGGAACAATGAACATGTTTGTGAGTTTACTTATTTTTTTCTGGAACATTTGTAAGTCAGAGGTT